CCCCAAAACCCCAAAACCCCAAAACCCCAAAACCCCACTCTTTAGAAATTTACTTGAAATTGGTTACACGGGATTTTATTCAGAAGAAATGGTAACTGAATAGAAGTGAGACAGATCCCCATCGTTGTGGTACTTGACATTGAAGTTCTTAGAGTCTACTTCTATAGTAGCCAGACCATTCTTTTGGGCATTTTGGATGTATACATGCCCATCTTGGTCTTTATAGGGACAGATATTCTTCATTTTTCTCCCACTTCCTCCAATCATGAACTGATGTAATTCTTTACCTTTCACAAAATATTGTTCTCGAGATTCGGTATTGATGATTTCTTTGACTTTCTTTTTCTTTCAGTCTTTAAGAACTGGGCCTCTATCTTTTCCAGGGAATCTGATTTCTTCATCATAATCAATGTTAGCATACTCAAATTGATGCTTATGGCCAGCCAAAAAGAAATCAACTTTGTACTTTTGTAGGAGAGGGAGCATATCATTTTTCAAGGAAGCTTCAAGAATTGGAGGATGATGGCCAACAACTCCAAGCCAGGCAACATCAGGATCCTTGGAATATTTCTTCAGTTTGTTTTCCAGCCATTGGTAATGAATCTGGACAGACTCGTTACCAATGTCTACATTCATTTCATCTCAGCCTGATCCATTCTCTCCCGGTTCAAGTTTGAAAGCAGTGTTGCATGCGAGCAAGCAGGTATTGGTCATGAGCATGACAAGATATTTCGAGGGATCATCTTTCAGGTTGTATTTGAGTTCATAGTAATCAGACTCCATCTCCCATTGTTTGTTGTAATCACTGTACAACACTTGGTTGTAGTAATCACTGAAGCAGTCATGGTTGCCAAGGGTTGGAAACATTTTGAGGTTCCTGATATTTCCCTTCTGGAAAAAGCTCATGATTTTATCAGGAAGGTCCAGGTCATTCATTGATTCTATCCCGTTTGGATAAAAATTATCACCCATTGTTGTAATAAAGTCATACTGGTCTTTCGCAGCAAGCTTGTTCATGATGTCTGTCATGGCATCGATATTTTCTTTCGATTTATAATCTCCGAAATCTCCAATTGCGAAGAATCTTTGGACTTGTTCTTTTGAGGAATGAGGGATAAAATTCTCCCATTTAGGTGAGTCAGAGTATTTAAGTGTTTTTTTCTGGTCTCTGGCTGAGCTATATGAAGAGCCGAAACAGGCACATAGAGCCACAACTAGTGGTAACAATTTAATAAACATTATACTATCCCAATTTTCCAAGATAAAAGGGGTTTTGGGGTTTTGGGGTTTTGGGGTTTTGGGG